AGGCTTCAGCTTCTGAATACGTAACATGGTATTAATGGTGTGTATCTCCGCAAGTACGGCGAGGACTAAATGAGACATTGTAGTATGTGAAATGCCATTATCATTCATCTTCTCATTTTCTAAATGAGCACATATCACTCTTGTAATTAAAAAACCAGTTACATGAGAAAAAGGTTGCACCCACTCTGTTTAGTTTTTACAAGGCTACAGACAACATATGACTAACCAGCACCTCGGATCCTGCCGATGAAATGCCCCAGGACCCCAAGAATGACTTACAGCACAAAAGTCCTATTTGATTCCCACTCACTCCTGCTGGCCTCTCACGGTTAAGAAAGAGCAATGGCCTCATGGACACTAGATGACCAGGGATGCCTGAGTGAGGATTTGAAAAGCTGGCTGGCCCACTGCCCCCGTCTGAGGCGGCCCACCTGGATTCCTGGTGAGCGGACGCCGGGGTTCGCAATGCCCTGTCTCTGAGTGCTCTGCTGAGCTGCTCGACTCCACTCAGCTCAACCGAAGACAGCCAATGCTTTCTAGGTACCGCTGTGTTCCTTATCATGTAATCGAACAGTGACAGCGTGGCCCGGCCCTCTATAGAGGGCCTGGTGATACTCAACAGGAGACTGGAAGAGAAGGGTGCAGGGGTGGGGGGGCGAGGAAAGGCTGCCCAGTCAACCCTGGTATGCCCCCTACAGAGACACTGTGCCACACTTGTGTGTGGGTGTCCTTGGTGCACATAGGAAGAATAATAGCAAAACCCCAAGGTTACTTTAGAGCCAAGACCAAGAGGAGAAGCTTTAACTCGTGCAGAGAGGAACAGAGAACACAGGACATGCCCCTGCATTGGACAGGCTGCTAAGAGTTGGCAATGCTCATTCATTCAACTCAGGAAATGGTTACTGATTACTCATGTACTCAGGGGGAAAAGAAGGCTCAGTGGAGTCTGTACGATGCAGACACACACCTGCACCTTCACTAACCTAGCTGATGTCCCCACACTCCTGGGTACCTGGGCCAGAAACATGAGAAACCTGGCAGGAACAAACTCAACACTGCCTGCCTCCCAGCCTCCAACAGCCGCCCCAGGACGAGGGGAGCCCCCTTGCTGCCTTTCCCAGTGTCCTGCTCTTACTCCCGGGATGGACTGCCAGGAAAACCTCCTCCACGGTGGCTCCCTATTGGTCCGAATGAAAGGGTAAAACCCTACCTCCTCACTGTGGCCACAGATCCAGCTCCCATCAACTCCTCAAGCACCTCGTTCCAGCCCCCCTGGGCTCATTGCTCCTGCGGTCCCCTCTGCCCATCGACTGGGTGTCCATTCCGAGTCGCCTCCTCGACCTAGCTCGTTATGCCCAGTCGTTCTCCACGTCACTGCCCTGTTGTGGTCTCCCTGTAGCTCCTTCTACCACTCTGTGTTATTCTGTCCATGTGTCTCCTTGTTTACTGTCTGTTTCGCTCACTACAATATAAACTTCATTAGACTGTGTGTCTTGGTGACCTTGCTCTTGGCTACCTCCCCAGCACCTACAAGTGTGCCAGGCACTTAGTAGGTGTTCAATAAGTCACTGAATTTAACAAATACTTACTGAGTGCCTACAAAGTTTAGGCACTGAACTATATATAACAGTAGACAAACAAACAAACAAACAAAAGACAAAAATCTCTGCCCTCAAAGAGCTTAAATTCTGTTGGAAGATAAGATAAATAAATAATAGTGCAGTAATAGCTTCAACCAAGCTATTACTCAGTGCTCAGTGCTATTCTAAGCCTCTGACAGGTATTTACTTAATTCAATCTTGCTGACAAATGCGTGAAGTGCTATTATTTTATGGATGGGGAAACTGAGGCACAGAGGGGTTAAGTTACTTGTTGAAGGTCACGCAGCTCATAATGGCAGAACCAAGACCCAAATCCGGCAGCTGTTCCTTGCAGGCAGGGATGGGGAGAGAGCCATCAAGGAAGGCTGCCCTGTCCTGGGAGCTCAGTGAGACAGGGGCTGCTGGGCTTACCGGTGCCGCACACTGGTGAGGAGAAAGCTGAAAGCGGTGTGGTCTGATGAAAAGACAAGGCAGGAGCCCCAGCTGGTGTGGCTCAGTGGATTGAGTGCCGGCCTGCAAACCAAAGGGTTGCTGGTTCGATTCCCAGTCAGGGCACATGCCTGGGTTATGGACCAGGTCCTCAGTGGGGGGCGGGGCATGAAAAGCAACCACATGTTGATGTTTCCTTCTCTCTGTCCCTTCCTTTCTCTCTAAAAATAAATAAATAAAATCTTAAAAAAAAAAAAAAAAAAGACATGGAAGGACAAGGGTCAGGATTCCTGGCTGCTCGTTTTAGATGCTGTAAAACACCCAGGCATGTCAACAGATACTTGATGAGTTTACTTTTTGTACAGGACACTGATCCAGGCGCTGCGAGGGGTGCAAACACAAGCTCTCCCAACAGAGATCCTGGCCTCAGAAAGCTTAGAGCCATGCACGTTCACATGGAGCTGAAACAGAGGTAGAAAGTGGCAAGCACCATAAGAAAATGTACAAACTGCCATGGGATTTCAAGAGTTATATAGCCTCTAAGGGACCACAGGTGCCCAACCATAAAAGAGGGGCTGGCCTACATAACCCCCAAGGTCCTCCAGGTCTGATGTGTCCTGCAGGCACAGATTTGGAGGGGAATGGAGATCAAGTTTTATTCTGGCTAATGGTTGAAGTTCACGGCCACTGAACTTGTTCATGTTCTCCTTCCTAAGAATAGTTCCGATTTCTTCGAGCAACAACTTTCAGCAGCAGAAGGGCAGTAATGCTCTCATTTATATAATGCAGCTAGTGGGGGAACAAAGCCTAGTGTGCTCGGCCCTCCTCTCCTTCTAACTGGCTTTTAAACCCACAAACCCTCTCCGTCAAGGAGGACGTGACCCTTCTGTGAACAGATAGTCACATTGTGGGGACTGCTCCCTCTTCCCCTCGTGCATGTCTAGACCCCCAGAGCCTGGCACAGTGCCTGGCGCGCAATCGGTGCTGAGTAAGGTTTGCTGGGCTAAACCTGAGCACGGTCCGGTCTAGGAATTCGCTGCTAGACATAGAAATCGCAGTCGGCGTTCCCTGAGGTTTCGCTGTGCAGCTCTCCGCCTCTCCCGGGGGAGCAGGCTGGTCCCACCTCTTCAGTTGTGCTGTCACCGTGCTGGCCCCCAAGCCCCCATCACCTCTTGCCAGGCAACAGTCTGTCTCCCAACTGGCACCCTGCTCCTTTGTTTGCTTCTTACACTCCAGTCATGGTATGGCAGCCAGAATGATCTTTGAGAACTTAAATTTAGATCTTATCACCTCTCTGCTGAAAATCCTCCAACGGTTTCTAACTGCACTTGGAATATAATTCAAACTGGTTTCTCCCACCTTCACAGCACTTACGGCTACTGAAATTATTTTGTCTGCGTATTTGTTCACTCCCTCCTCTTTGGAACGTCCATAACAGGAGCTCATGGGCTGTGTCTACCTTCATTCACCATTGTGGTCCTGACGCTCGAAGGGTGCCTGCCACATAGTAAGCATTCACTATTGAATGAATCTCCATCCCAAAGAGGCAACTTGTGATTACAAGGACCACAAACTCCACCAGGAAACCATGAACGACACACTGGCATTTAACAGCTGGCACCTTTATTTATCATTCAAAGTCCTGCTTTAAGTCAGAGGAACCTTGGCCCTGGCTGGGAAGCTCAGTTGGTTAGAGTGTCATCCCCATGTGTCAAGGTTGCAGGTTTGATCCACGGTCAAGGCACATACAAAAACAAGCAATGAATGAATAAATAAGTAGAACAACAAATTGATGTTTTTGTCTCCCTCTTCCTCTAAAATCAATTTTAAAAAAAAGGAAACTTGTTATCTCTGAATACTTGAATGGTTCAAAAGATCAGTGTCATTGACGATCTAACCAGGAACTAGAGCCCAGCAGTTGTAGCAGGAAGCTCAGAGTCAAGGCACTTGGGAACAGAACCTCAGATAAAACTCCAACTTGCCTCCAGGCCCCTTACCAACACAGCCTGTGCCTCAGTTTACCCAGCCGTCAGCCAGGCACATTTCCCTAAGTTCTAACTGGCAGGAGACAAAATAATTAACAGCTATAGCATACTTATAGCCTCAGATAAGAGGTGCCACTAGCCACCCATCTCATTATTTGTAAACTGTTTTGCTGCACACACAGGCCTCCTCGGCCTTCCCAGGGGCTAACCAGACAGCAGGCGCGGCTCAGACAAGTTCAGCACGCAAGACAGGGGGAGGCACGTGGGGTCTAACAGGTTGGGTGTCCAGAGTTTCCTGTCTTGGTCACCAGGTTCAAGAACAAGGAAGGTGGTTGGGGGAGGGGGTGATGAAAAGGAGGTGAGAAGTGTAGTTTTGGTATCCAAGTGGTTAATTTTGCAGGTTCACGTAACAGCTGGCCGTACAGATGAGACATGTGCCTACAATGTGTACCTTCCAGTAACACTCGCGGAGAGAGGTGGAGTCGGGAGAAGGCAGTTCAATCAAACTAGAGAGAGGAAGGGCAGCCCAGTGGCCAGACCTTGGCAGCCTTTAGTTTGGGGAAATATGGAGGAGCTCTATACACAGGGTCAGGATGCTGAGAGTGGGGCTCAGGTGAGGCAAGAGACAAGAGGACGCAGGACCCTGAGTGCTGACAGACGATGACAACCACGCCGACGCGGTGCCGCGAGCTACAGCGTGGGTGGCTCGGACACCTGTGGAGGCGATTCCCCCGAGAAGGTGAGGACCCTGCAGGGTGGTCTTCGGCGGGGGCGGGCGAGAGGCGGAAGGCAGCGGCGGCCGGGAGGGGCAAGGAGGCCTGGCCCAGACCAGGGCGCCGCGCCGGGGGCCCAGCTGGTGGGTCCGAGCGGGGTCGGGGGTGCCCTCCGCGGCCCCTCCCCGGGAGACAAAGGGCCGGCAGCTCCCCCGAGCCCAGGCGCGGCGCGGGCCCGGGAGCTACGGGCGCGGACTGGCCTCGGCGCTTACCTGGGCCGCCCGACCCGGCCGGGCCGGCGGGGGCTGCAGGTCCGTGCACGGCGCGCGGCGGCCTGTTCCGGGGCGCGATCACCCCAAACAGCCGCGGCGGCGGCAGCAGCAGCAGGAGCAGCAGCAGCAGCAGCGGGAGCGGCCACCTCAGCCTCCGCCTCCCGCTCCGTGAGTCACCGCGGCGGGGAGGGAGGGAGGCGCCAGACCGCCGGGGGTGGGACCGGCGAAGGGGGCGGCATCTGGCTCCGAGCGGGCGGCGGAGGCTCGGCCACGGCAACGCCCCGCAAAGTGGAGGGGGCCACCAAGGGCCGAGCCCCAGGGGCGGGCCGTGCTGGGGGCGGGGCCCTGGTGCGCGCGGGGATGCTCATTGGTTATATTGGGCTGTGGGGCGGGGCTCCCTGCTGAAGGGCGGGAGCTGCGGGACGCTCGGGGACGTTTATTGGACTCCTTGAGAAAGGGGCGAGACCATGGGACCCGGGGCGGGACCACGAGACGGGCGGGTGGAGCGGGGTCGCGGGTAGCGGTGGAGCAGCTCTGAGAGCAAAGGGTTAGGGGCGGGACCTGTAGTCGGCAGGGGAGAAGGGGCGGGGGTTCGGAGGAGGAGGTGGCCCGAGGGCGGAGCCCGGGTTAAGGATGGAGCTGTCGCCAAGGTAAAGCAACTTTGCCTGTCGTTAGCTGCTCCGGGAGCATGGTGATCCCGTAAAAATAATAGCCTCTCCCACACACGGGTTTATGTTTAAAAATGGGAGCTGCCAGTCAGGGCGGAATCCTTGGTGAGACTGGTTTACGCAGGGCCCCTGAAAAATCTGCATGGACGAGGTTGCAAGACATTTAGAGGCGTGGTCTTCCTGAATCTTGGAGCTGGGAACATTGCTACCTTTGAAGCAGTTAGGCCCGCTCTTGAATTGGGGCCCTAACCTGGGATCCATGGAACCCAGAGAGCCCAGGGATGGGCCTCTGTGGGCCCATTAAACTTAGAATATCATGTGTATTTACCAGTACCAAGGAGCGCATTTTTGTCGAGGAAAGCGGTCCATGATTAGAATGTTTCGATAGAAAGTCTGACTCTCCTATCTGGCTCTCTCTGGAGACAGTATGGAGAGAAACAGATCTTTATAGGCAAAATGTGAATTGCTTTGAACACCACCCTTCCTTTAAAAAAAAAAAAAGATTGTATTTATTCTTAGAGAGGAGAGGGAAAAGGAGGAAGGAGAGGGAGAGACACAGGGATGTGTGAGAGATACACCAATCGGTTACCTGGAGACCTGGCCTGCAACCTAGGTATGTGCCCTGAGTGGGAATTGAACTGATGATCTTTCAGTTTGCAGGCCAGCACTCAATCCACTGAACCACACAAGCCAGGGTTGGACACTCACCTTCCTTTTAAAGGGACGCATGTACTTAAGTGTGATCTCGTTTTCAATGTTTTAACTTAACTATTACATAGGATGATACTAACTGCAATTTAAAAGGCCATTTGCTCCACTTCCCCAACCTTTCTTTTCACCCTTTTTCTGTCCCATCCTTTTCCACTCTCCAGATATTTCTCTCCCTTCCTTATGCAAGAAGGATACGGGATACTTTTTTTTTTTAACTTTATTTTGTTCATATTCTAAAATGTCCATATTACTCTTTTAACACTGTATTGTAGCTAACAATTGAGGAATATTTTAATCTTATCAGAAGTCATGAAATTGTGAATTCTGAAGGGCCAGAAACAGATCTTAATCATGCCTGTATTCCCTCGCATCCAGACTACTGTGCCTATAGCAAGAGCTCAACCAGAATTAGCCAATACGGTGTATGAGTCGTTCCTTCAAGTTTTCCAGAGAACACCAACACAAAAAAACTTACACATTCAAATTATTTTTATGTAAATATTGACAGTTAAACAAATGAACTAAAATTGAACAAGTCACTTGCTATTTAAGACACAATATATAAATTATATTTTTCAAAAAGTTATATGCTTAAGGGAGGAAGGTGGGAAAGGAATGCCTAAAATGAAAATGTGTCAGTGTGAAATGGATTCTGTTCCTTTTTCCCAAATTTTCATAAATATATTTTTTATAGTTCAAAATTACAATAAATTCTCAACACAGCCAGTGCCTCAAACTACCCCATGAGCTCAGAGCTGGAAAATTCTGTGTTTCTAGATAGCAGTATTACTTCAGGATTAACTCAGGCTCCATCCATCTGTAGGGTCTTAAAATGAAGCATTGAAGGCTTAGGGGATAGGGAACATCTGCTAGTTCTGACAGCCCAGCACCATCTTTTCTCTGTGGGGAACTGCTTCTCCGCGCCCCCTTCTACCTCCCAGAGGTGCTGATGAGGCTCCTGGTACCCACTCTCTACGCGCCCCCCACCCCCCTCACACACACACAAACAGGGAAGACATGGAATTCAATCTGGACCAATCCAAGTGCTGCATTTTCTCGACGATGGCCAAGTAGGATGTGACCTGAGCTAAGCCTATTGGAGTTCTTCCCTGAAATTTTCTGAATTAGAAATGAAGTTCTGTATTTCCTACTGGGTCAGGAACTATAAAGATGAGACCTCAAAAATATTAGCATCGTCTTCCACCCACCACATGGAAAATTCTGAAAGAATGAGGCAGTGTTACTGTGCAGAAACAGAAATTTGGAGGGAGGGAAGGGGAAAGGGAAAGAAAAGGAGGGAGACCTCTAACAGCTTGTTCCATGGTTTCAGGAGACCTTGCACCAGTTCTGCTCACGCCATCTCACATCTCACACTTGATAGGTCCCCAAATTTCCCTCCCCTCGTGTGCTCCCCGCTCCAGTAGCTGGCGCTGCTCCACCCAGTTGCTTACACCAGAAACTGGCGGGTATCCTTGACACCACCCTCTCTTTTCCTCCTCACCCAGTCCGTGCCATTTCCATGCCCAAACCATATCTTGAATGTCCCCACTTCCCCCATCTCCACCTTTCTGTCTCAGTTTAACCGACCGTCAGCTCTCACCTTATTACTCTCTCATTCAGGTTTTTCCTACCACCCCCAATCCATTACCCACACAGCAACTAGAGAAATCTTCTTAGCCAGTGTTGTCAGACTTCTGCTGTTCCATGAGTTCTTTTCTTTTCATGATGAAGTTCAAAATCCTTAGCGTGGCAACAAGACCATGCGTAAGCTGGCTCTGGCCTGACTTTGAACCACCCTTGCCGACCGGGCCCCAGCTACACACAGGCCTTCTCCCTATTCCTTGACCAGAAGGTACTTCTTTGTGCTTTGGAGACTGTGAGTGTGCAGTTCCCTCTGCCTCTATGGCTCTATTTCTCCCCCTTCTCTCCCCCTTCATCTGACTGAATATTTGGTCGTCTTCAAGGAGGCTTTTCACCTGTGCTAGGTCCAGTCCCAGCATGGCCATAAATTCCAGGAAGGCAAAGAGGTCACTGTGAACCATGTCTGCCTAGCACAGTACCTGGCACTTGCAGATGCCCAGTGAATATTATTGCAGGAATTACCAAATGTATAAATGGATAAATACCTACCCAGGGCTTTCCACCCACAGGCCAGCCCCTCCTACTTCCCCAACTCCAGTGCTATCAACACAGTACAGTTTTCAGGCCAAGTACAGCATGAGACAGAGGCAGAACCACAGCAGGCTGTGTGCAGGGAAGGAGGCTATTTTGGAGCAGTTATGGCAACCGTGGTCCTCAAATTTCACCCCATAAGAAGGCCTCCCTGCCTACCAGTTGAATAGGTGCTGGTGAGAATGGGAGAGAAAGGCAGAGATTTTGTGCTGAATGAAAAGAGATTTCTTAGTAAAGGAAAAATGAGAAATAATTCTTTTTGTTTTGAGAACCAAATTCTAAACATTAATTAATAATTTCCAGCAATAGAGGAAGTAAAAATATATATATATGTATACATATATACATTTTTTTTTCGCTTTGGTTCCTGTGTTTGCCATCCTGTTTACATTTGGTTCGGCTCTATCTTCTCTGAGGACAGTGATAAGGAGGCTAAGGGCACAGGGGACAGCATGCCAGCCATGTACCATTCTCCTGTGTTTTGCCTTGGAAAATAACTTGTCATCTAATTTTACTTTGGAGATAATAAGGAATTATTAAACACAGCGATGAAAGCATTTTGTAGATCAGTGAATATACATATTTTGTGTCATGGGTGGGGTATGTGCAGCTGCGAACCTCTGGCTCTCCGCCAACCTGTCCCCAGAGTTTTGGCTTCTGCAGCCTCTGGTGGGCAGAGCCTCCCTATATCCGAGAATTCTGCTCGTATTGCACTTGGGAACAGTATAAACAAATAATTATTCATTTCTTGGACTGTGTTTTGACAGACCAACACGTCTTATAAGTGTATTTGTCTGTGCAACCTTCAACATTCTACTCACTTAGTAAAGACAAGCCAACTTAAGACCTCAGCTTGGATCCAAATACTGTCTATCAGCCTTTCAGCATAATAGCCTGTTTATCACCTTTTTCCCCCTGCTGGTTATCATCCAATTAAGTATAAAAAATTACCATGCCTAAAAGCAAACAGCCTCTACTCTCTGAGAATAAATGATAAACAGCTCTCCTTCCCCCAGCACTTACAATGCATTTCGTATCTCTAGATGTTGCAATGCTATTAGCACATTTAGGTGAGGCTGAAAAGATCATTCCTGACAAGCAGTTCCTTCTGTCCCTGCAGACTGCAGTACAGATTGCCCAGCAGTTTATTGCAAACAAGTAGCGGGGCCTGTTACTATTAAGTATTTGTAGCTTTGCTCCTGCCCTTCATTGTAAAAGAATTTGAAACCAACCTGAGACTATAAACCTCCCTGTTTGACATTCAAACCCTTAGCTGAGATCCTTTGCTATTTGTAAGACTGAGGTCTGGCTTTGCAGGATGTGACAGACACTTAGAGCCTGCGTTTTGGTTCCGCAGGGATTGCTCAATCTAAATGAACTTTGTAGTTTGGTCTCTCCCCCTCCCTTCACTTTCTTCATTGCTGTTCTTCCGGGAAATCACTTCCCATCGGCAGTATGTGCCCCCAGCTGGTGAATCAGATGGAGTTCCTCTTTATAGTGAACACCCAGTGAAGGCTAAGGGCGGAAAATCTACACCCTGGTGCCAGCTAATGAAGAGCCTCACATGAAAGCCTATGCAAAGGGGCACAGGCATGGTGTGAATGTCCTGGGATCCGCACCTACTCCCTCTTCTTCCACACACTGCCTAACAGAGAGCAATGATTATTAATTATTT